CGGCCACCTCTCCTCCAACCAATCAAAGGGCACCGATTCAAAATCACTCATACAAGCATCCCTACGGCCAAACTCAACCTCACAAAAAGCAAGGCATCGGCTGGATACCGCTACGGCCCAATTACCACAAAGCTCCAGAACAGGCACCGGCCCATTCTCCCAAATAAGGAACGCATCGACCTAAACTCGACGTCCTCACAACAACCCAAGGAACCTTAAATAGACCGCTACGGCTGCTTGTGCGCGCATCGTCGATGATAACCCTGGCATTGCGGCCTTCGTCCAAGGGTTCTCCCACAGGGTTACCTTGGACAGGTTCGCCTAAGGGTTGGAGTCGCGACTAACGCACAGGTACCGGATCGGCTCATTACTCCCTTGTGCCTCAGATACTCTTCGGCCAAAGGAGTGGGGGACTGGGGGACTGTATCGGCTACAAAAAGAGAGAGCGCAACGACCAATAACAAAAGATCGCATCGGCCATCAAAATACTAAGGATTGCGTCGGCTATAAAATCACTAAATCAGCGCGCATCGGCTTATTCGCTAGCAGTGCTACGGCCACCAATACAAGAGGATCGCAACGGCTGCGTACACTAAGAAGACCGCATCGTCTCACCATAACAAAAACTCACAAGTCAAAAACGCTTCGGCTGCATGACAAATCAAAGGTGCGCATCGTCTACATAAACAGAATCAACCATCTTCATCTCATGAAAATAGGCCTTCGCCACGGCCAAAAGGATAAATGGGAGCTCTTCGGCCCCAACAGGATAACGACGAAAGCATGCCAACTTATCCACCAAGGATTCATCGCATCATCTACAAAAAGAAAGCGCATCGCCTCGTCTTCAAGGGCACTCCCACAGAGTGTGCTTCGGCCCGCATCAAGACTATGAGTTCCCAAGCACGCTTCATCTACATCAAATAAGGGAACCGCTTCGTCCAAAATCAAAACAGGAACTCTTCGGCCATCAAACGCCCTGGGCTCACGCAACGGCCAGCCAGAAAGGAACAAAGTACTCCCTTTCGCTTCGGCTTCACCTCAGCTCAGAGAGTGGGGGACTCCTGATAGAGTATATGGGCTTGGACCCCATGGCCCACATACTCAACGGCCCAAAAGACACCAGCGTGACACCCGCATCGGCCGTAGGCACGTGACGCCCAAGAGAGAAGATATCGCCTGATTTCTATGGACCGCATCGTCAGTGGACCGCGCCGTCCATGGACCGCATCGTCCATGGACCGCATCGTCCATGGACCGCATCGTCCATGGACCGCATCGTCCATGGACCGCATCGTCCATGGACCGCATCGTCCGAACTTCGTCCGGGCAGAATGCATTTTCCTATTTTTTGTACTAAGTGTTGTACTCAGCCCATTAGTGGCCTTATTCGCCCAAAGAAGGCATGATTATTGTAATGGGCCTCCTAAGCCCAAGGCTAGGGGCCCAAATCTACATTTTTACCTATAAATAGACCCCAAGGGGCTAATTATAGGGGATTCTGTTCCAAGTTGAGAAATATAATTACTCACTTTCTCTCTCTAGCTCTCACTTCTCTCTAGAATTAATACTCTATCAACGTAGTACCCCCCAACTTACAAGGTATAGTGAACATGCCCGGGTCATTGTATTTCTTTGGGAGTTTCTTTTGAAAGACCGCAGAAACACGTTCACTAACTTGAACTTTTTGTTTCCCATTGAGTCTATGTTTCCTTTTTATTGTACAAAGCTCTTTGAAAAATTTTGCAAATCTGGGAACACCCTTTATTAAATTAAGAAGAGGAATATTTACCTCACACTTGAAGAATGTCTCATAGATGTCCTTGTCTTTGTCCACCCTCTGTGTTTCCCTTAGAGCCTCGGGGAATGGAGCTTCAACTTCTTGGATGGTCGGTGGCGGGGTTAAAGTGTGAGTTTCCTCCTCCTCAGGTTGAGCCTTATCCACAATCTCCTCTTCTTCTTCCTCGCCAATGTGGCTCTTGGCTTTCTCCTTGGCAATTACCAATTCTTTGCCACTCCTTAATGTCACCGCATGGGCTTGTTGCCTAGGATTTGGCTCCGTTTGAGACGGAAGCTTTGTTGAATCCTTAGCTTCAAGCCTACTCACCGCACTTGAGATTTGGCTCATTTGATTCTCAAGGTTTTGGATGCTTGATTTTGTCTCATGTTGGAACTGAACCATGTTTTGTTGCATGGTTGAGACATTTGAGGTGAGTGCTCGGATCATGTCTTCGGTGGACATAGTTGAACCTTGGCCTTGGGGTTTAAAGTATGGTTGTTTGTTTGGAGGATATTGGTTTTGTGGAGGATTATTTTGTGGTGGGTTTCCTTGTGGATTCCCATATCTCAAATTAGGGTGATCTCTAAACCCGGGATGATAAGTGTTGCCGTAAGAATCATACCTCTTTTGGTTTGGGAACCCCAAAGCGTTGACTTGCTCGGGGTTTTCTTCTTGAAGGCTCGGGCATGCATCGGTGGGATGGCCTTGTTGTGTGCAGATGCCGCAGACCTTGGCTTCTTGGGTTTTGGAATTTAAAAGAAAATCCTTTACCAAAGAAGTCAAGCCGGCAACTTGGCTTTCTAGAGATGATGTTGATTCGGCCGCCATGACTCTTTTTGTTGATGACCGCCCGTTGTGATATCTACAATTCTCGGCCAACTCCGAGATGAGATTCATAGCTTGAGAAGGAGTCTTGTTAACGATTCCTCCTCCACATGCGGCATTAATCATCCGTCTATCATCATTGCAAAGACCATCATAAAAGTATAGGATGAGGTCTTGCTCCGAATAGCCATGATACGGACAGCTTGCACAAAGTTTCTTGAATCGTTCCCAATATTCATAGAATGATTCATCATCTTTTTGCTCCACATTGCTTATTTGCTTTTTTAGAGATGAGGAGACAGAGGCTGGATAGTACCTTTCGAGGAAAGCTTTCTTCATGGCCGCCCATGTATCTATACTTCCCGAAGGAAGATAGAATAGCCAATCTTTTGCGGTATCTTTAAGGGAGAATGGAAAGGCCCTCAGTTTGATTTGCTCCTCGGTGACTCCATTAGGGCACATGCTTGTGCACACAACATGGAATTCCGAGAGGTGTTTATTCGGATCCTCTCCTCTTAGGCCATGGAAGGATGGCAAAAGATGAATGAGCCCAGATTTTAGCTCAAATGTATTACCCTCGTTGAGTGTACGGAAAGTAATACATAACGGTTGTTGATTCAAGTTCGGAGCTGTGAACTCCCTCAAGGTTCTTGTTTCTTGAGCCATAGTAATTGGCTCTTCAGATTCGCTAGAACTGGAGCTAGCGTTTGAGGTTTCCTCTGAGGGTATGTGCGGAATTAAATTTCTCAACCTCTCGAAGGCTTGTTCTATTTCGGGGTTTGCTTGATAAGTGATTTCGTTTATAGAACGATATCGGACCATATACTTCACAAAGCTCAGAAATAGAAAAATAAGAACTCTTTATATTTTTGGTTAATTATTTTTTTATGATTTTTCTTGAAATAAAATAAAAAGAAAAATGATTGCTTTTCCCCGGCAACGGCGCCAAATTTGACGTGCACTTGTCGTGAGGTGCACTCAAAATAATAATACAATACGACACTAATACGTAGTATAGTGTAGTAAGGTTCGTATCCACAGGGAAAGGAACACTCTTCTTTTTATATAAATAAGAAATAATAACAGGGGGTTTTATGTTTGGTTGATGAACTTAAATTATCTTTAAACACGAAGATGAACGAGTTATGTGGTTTAATTAATGAGAAGAAGACTTGGCTTTGCTTTTATCCACTTAATGAAATGTTCGTCGATCCCGGTTATATCTTTAACTATCTTCCTCTCGAATACTCAATCGAGGAGTATATCCAGTTCATCGAGGGTAGTTATTAATAACGAGAAGCGTTCATTAATAAAACTTACTACCGAGTCAATATAGAACAAGCGTCGTATATTAACTTGATAGTAGCAATAAAATTAAGATGAAAATGATTGAGATTGATAACCTCAACACAAGCGGTTTATTGGTTTAATCAATATAATTAATTCCCCTTGGCTTGTTAACCATGAAAAGCATGTATTAACAATCCAAGTTTACTACCGTGAAAGGATCGAATTAATAACAAGCGTATTAACCGACCAATTCTAGTAATAACTAATATATAGAACAAGACTAGTAGGTACTTTTAGTAATGCTCAATATATTAATATGGGATAAGAATAGGAAGTAATTAATATTCAAGGAAGAAGATTAAAGAAAGTAACTCACAACTTACAAATCATTAAGCTTCAAAGTAGCAAAACCAAGATGGAAGAGTTTAGCTCCTCATTTGGAGACTAAACATGATGAAAAATATAAAGAAAGAACTTGTCTAAACTGAGCTAAGAAGTATATGTGAATTGGTGTCCAAAAAGTGAAGGAAAGGGGGTGTATTTATAGGCTTTTTGAGGTGCAGGATCGAGTACTCGATCGAGTATGTATATATACTCGATCGAGTATGTATAGAAATCAGAATATGGTCAATACTCGATCAATACTCGAGTAGATTTTATATGTATATACCCGATCAAGTATATAAGTATACCCGATCGGGTATAGACACTCGAACGTGGGAAAATCTTCTCCTGCATGTTCCTTTGTTTTCGGATCCGATCCGATTTGAAATGTCAACCAGATACCCGATCGAGTATATGTATATACTCGACCGAGTATAGACCAAAGTCAGGATTTTTCCTTCTTTTGTCTTGTACTCTTGCACCTTCCTTCACCATTGATCATTTGATTGATCTTGGACCTGTTTAAGCTCAGAATAAACCTAATCTAAACAAATTACAAGAATTTAACAAACTAAACTATTACACCGAAAGTGTGTAATTTCCGAGATATTAAACAATCAAAACTAACTAAAAACGTAAATAAACATACGGAAATTACAAACGTATCAAGGACCGTTGCTTGTTTTTCTCAGATCGGCCGCTCATTGCTGACACCATTATACCACGACCGGCCTCTCGGCTCGGCGTGCTTATCTCTTGAAGACCGGCCTCGTCCCCGCCCTCGCGGACGAGGGCCGTTGCTTGATTCTTTCAGATCGGCCTCTCATTGCCGACACTGTCGTGTCATGTTCGGCCCCCCGGCCCGGCGTGATTATCATCTTTGAAGACCGGCCTCGTCCCCGCCCTCGCGGACGAGGACCGTTGCCTGTTTTTCTCAGATCGGCCGCTCATTGCCGACACCATTATACCACGACCGGCCTCTCGGCTCGGCGTGCTTATCTTTTGAAGACCGGCCTCGTCCCCGCCCTCGCGGACGAGGACCGTTGCTTGATTTTCTCAGATCGGCCGCTCATTGCCGACACCATTATACCACGACCGGACTCTCGGCTCGGCGTGCTTATCTCTTGAAGACCGGCCTCGTCCCCGCCACCTCGCGGACGAGGATCGTTGTTTGATTCTTTCAGGTCGGCCTCTCACTGCCGACACTATCATGTTATGTTCGGCCTCTCGGCACGACATATTTATCTTTTGAAGACCGGTTTCATTCCCGCGCTGCGTTGGATGAGAGCCGTTGCTCGGATATATCGGCCTGACCGGACACTATTGCCATCTCCATTATCAGGACCGACTGCTCAGCGATATTATGATCATTGTATATCGGCTCCCAATGCCGACCTTCTTGAGTTAGCGATCGGGCTCACCCCTCCCCTCCAGGAGGGTGACCATCGCCTTCGCATGACGACCAGCTATTCCGTCGCCTCGTCATTTTATTCGTTTTGGTATGCCACCACCATTATGTGTGACATCCCGTGATCCCTGCGAGTTTCTTGGATACCGAATGTCTTCTTCGATGTAGGAAGATCGGTAGAACCACGGACCAGGGACGGACAAAGAAGAGCTAGGGAATCTCGATGTAGATAAACCTGTTCCTCCTTGCGAGTTTCGCGGATACCGAACGTCTCTTCGAAGCAAGAGCGCCGGTAGGACCAAGAACCAAGGACGAACGAAGAATATAGATTGCCTCCCTCAAACAAAAAAAAAAGATGGGGAGAAGAGGAGGGTAGCTCCTATACGGAAGGGAATCTTGCCTGGGTGTGCCAGATCTTCCCCCACTGCCGAAGACGAACGCCTCTCGATGTAGAGGTTAGTAGAGACGCGGAGGGGGCTAGACGAACCAAGGGAGCTTGCCAAGATAAACCTGTTTATCCCACAATGACCATGGATCGATGGACGTGGGATAACAAAGTCGGGAACCCGTGAGGGTAAACCTGTTCGTCCCTGCGAGTTCCTTGGGTACCGAACGTCTTCTTCGAAGCAAGAGACGCCGGTAAGACTAAAAGGACCACGGACGAACGAAAAAAGGGGGAATCTCGATGTAGATAAACCTGTTCCTCCTTGCGATGTCTGCGGATACCGAACGTCTCCTCGAAGTAGGGACGCCGGTAGGACCAAGGACCAAGGACGAACGAAGACTAAAAGACTCCACAAAAAAAAAAAAATGTCAGAAGAGCATGGAGCAAAGAACGATTTTATCCCTCGGCGCTATTGGCCGGGAAGTACAAACTGGAAAACATATGTAAAGAATAATTACAAAACTTAAGTACGAAGAATGAAGTGGCCGACGACGATCAGCTAACATCAGGCTTTGTTTTGCCTTGGACAACGAATACCAGCTCCCCAGATCAGACAGAGGGACGACGCCCAGGTCCACCTTTCCTCCCAGGATGAAGTCCTGGCAGACGATCGGCTTCTCACAGCCAATCAGGATAGAGACTTCACATCACCAGCACGGCCGAAGGCCGTGAGACAATTATCACTCACCGACAGGCCGAGGGCCATGAGATGATCATCACCAGTCTTATGCAGTACGATCGGCCCCTTAGCGCCATCGTACCCGGCTCACGTTCAGCTCTTCCATCCCTTCCAGGGTGGCGATGAACGTCTTATGCATCATGATCGGCCCCCCAGCGCCATCGTGTCCGGATTCACGGTTCGGCTCGCCCATTACCTCCAGGATGGCGACGACCGTCTTATGCAGTACGATCGGCCCCTCGGCGCCATCGTACCCGGCTCATGTTCGGCTCGCCCATCCCTTCCAGGATGGCAACGAACATCTCTTATGCAGCACGATCAGCGCCCCAGCGCCATCGTGTCTGGCTCACGTTCGGGTCGTCCATCCCGTCCAGGGTGGCGACGAACGTCTTATGCATCACGATCGGCCCCTCAGCGCCATCGTGTCCTGATTCACGGTTCGGCTCGCCCATTCCCTTCCAGGATGGCGACGACCGTCTTATGCAGTACGATCGGCCCCTCAGCGCCATCGTACCTAGCTCACGTTCAGCTCGTCCATCCCTTCCAGGGTGGCGACGAACGTCTTATGCATCACGATGGGCCCCTCAGTGCCATCGTGTCCAGATTCACGGTTCGGTTTGCCCATTCCCTTCCAGGATGGTGACGAACGTCTTTATGCAGCACGATCGGCCTCTCAGCACCATCGTGTCTGGCTCATGTTCGGCTCGCCCATCCCTTCCAGGATGGCGACAAACGTCTCTCATGCAGCATGATTGGCCCCTCAGTGCCATCATGTCTAGTTCATCTCCGGGTCGCCCATCTCCTCCAGGATGGGGACGGATATCTTATGCAGCACAATTGGCCCCGCCGTGCCATTGTGTCGATTTCATGTTCGGCTCGCCCATCCCCTTCAGGATGGCGACGACCGTCTTATGCAGCACAATTGGCCCCGCCGTGCCATTGTGTCGATTTCATGTTCGGCTCGCCCATCCCCTTCAGGATGGCGACGACCGTCTTATGCGGCACGATCGGCTTCTCAGCGCCATCGTGTCTCTTTCACGTTCGGATCGCCCCATTCCCTCCAGGATGGCGAAGAACGTCTTATGCAGTGCGATCGGCCCCTCAGCGCCATCGTACCCGGCTTCACGGTTCGGCTCGCCCATTCCCTCCAGGATGGCGACGACCGTCTTATGCGGCATGATCGGCTTCTCAGCGCCATCGTGTCTCTTTCACGTTCGGATCGCCCCATTCCCTTCCAGGGTGGCGACGAACGTCTCTTATGCAGCACGATCAGCGCCCCAGCGCCATCGTGTCTGGCTCACGTTAGGGTCGCCCATCCCTTTCAGGATGGCGACGAACGTCTCATATGCAGCACGATCAGCGCCCCAGCGCCATCGTGTCTGGCTCACGGTTCGGCTCGCCCATCCCTTCCAGGATGGCGACGAACGTCTCTTATACAGCACGATCAGCGCCCCAGCGCCATCGTGTCTGGCTCACGGTTCGGCTCGCCCATTCCCTTTTAGGATGGCGACGAACGTCTCTTTATGCAGCACGATCAGCGCCCCAGCGCCATCGTGTCTGGCTCACGGTTCGGCTCGCCCATTCCCTTTCAGGATGGCGACAAACGTCTTTTTATGCAGCACGATCAGCGCCCCAGCGCCATCGTGTCTGGCTCACGTTAGGGTCGCCCATCCTTTTCAGGATGGCGGCGAACGTCTCTTATGCAGCACGATCAGCGCCCCAGCGCCATCGTGTCTGGTTCACGTTAGGGTCGCCCATCCCTTCCAGGATGGCGACGAACGTCTCTTATGCAGCACGATCAGCGCCCCAGCGCCATCGTGTCTGGCTCACGTTAGGGTCGCCCATCCTTTTCAGGATGGCGGCAAACGTCTCTTATGCAGCACGATCAGCGCCCCAGCGCCATCGTGTCTGGCTCACGTTAGGGTCGCCCATCCTTTTCAGGATGGCGGCGAACGTCTCTTATGCAGCACGATCAGCGCCCCAGCGCCATCGTGTCTGGTTCACGTTAGGGTCGCCCATCCCTTCCAGGATGGCGACGAACGTCTCTTATGCAGCACGATCAGCGCCCCAGCGCCATCGTGTCTGGCTCACATTAGGGTCGCCCATCCCTTTCAGGATGGCGACGAACGTCTCTTATGCAGCACGTCTGCCCCTCGGTGCTGACATGCCCGGTTTATCGATGAGAGCCACCGCTTTCTATCACATCTCACATTCCTTCTCTCATACATTGCACTCATACATTACATGCATTCATGCATCATACCTCATACATTCATACATTCATACATACACACGTGCATCATGTTTTGACAGTACCGCGACGTCGGTTTATAGATGCATGGACCTCTAAGCTTCTCCGTTGGAAAGCTCGAGTCAGAGTCCTTTACTCTCGCCTGATGCATTCAGGGGGAGCGTGCCCGTGGAGGAGCACCCTTCGCCCGACCCCGTCGGGAACGGGGGTGCCTCACCGGCAGATTACGTTCAGGAGTGTGGACATCCACTCATATATTATGATTATTCGAAGACACAGGTTCCAGCTAGACCGAGGTAAAGCGCAGGCAAGAGTATATTTTCTCGAGCAGATTCGCACGCTCACTACTCAAGAAATTGGGGGACTTGTGTTGGGATATATTATCCCGGCCTATTACTGTTCAGGAGCCCAAGACAGTATCTAGTACGGAGCCCGAGCAGCTAGGTCCATTTCGGCCTATTCTGGCCCACTTTAGCCATTAGGCCCGGCATCGGCCCATTTGGCCCATTAGGGTGGAGAGCACCCTTTCCCCTATAAATATGAGGCTTCCCTCCATGTTTTGGGGATCCGCTCTTTAGCTTCTTCTTCCTTATTTATCTCTAGCTAACTCAATACTCCATAAATGGAGATCAAATTGTACTATGTAATGGTGAGGAGGGATTAATGAGAAGGAGAGGGCTTGGACATTAGCCTAAAAAGTCCCGTGGTTTTCTCCCTTTCGGGTTTCCACGTAAAAACTGAGTTGTTCATACACATTTATACATATATTTACTATATCGTGTTGGATTAAACTCAACAAATCTGTATGAGGCTAGTTTCTGGGTACAAGTTCATAATGCTCCTATAAAATATAGGAATTTGAGATCTGGTAGGAGAATTGGTAACTTTTTGGGTTCATTTATAAAATTTGAGATGAGCCAATTTGATGGAAGACAGGCTTCTTATTTGCGAATTAGGGTTTCTTTGGATGTTCGTCTACCTTTGAAAAAAGGTACCAATTTGACACAGGATGGAGTTAAACACTGGGTAGATTTTAAGTATGAGAAACTACCCAGCTTTTGTTTCATCTGTGGCATTATTGGCCATTCTGATAAATTCTGCCCGTTGAAGTATGAGGAGGGATTTGTCGTTGAGAAGACATATGGAGTGGAGCTTCGAGCTGGAGGAAGGGTGAAGACCAGCCCTACAGGATCTTACAAATGGACATCTGCAGGAGCTTCTAGTTCAGAAGGGTATGGGGACCAGTGGAAATCTGAATCTGGAGGAGAGTACTCGGCGGAGTCCAAGGGCATGAAACTGGCATTGTTTGAGAGCATTGAAGAGGAAGAGATGCCTGGGGAGCTTAAACGCAGGAGGACCGGGGATGTTCAACCCGGGAAAGGTGCCACTGGTGAAGATATGGTCATGGATAGGGCAAAAAACGGAGAGGAGGCGGGTCTGGTTCCCTAGACCCGTCGTGGCTGCAGTGGAGGGCGGTGGGAAAGAAAACTAGCTTTGGCATCTTTATTTTCTTCTATTTTGATTTATTTTACCCGAATTGCTCTGTTATGTTTTTCTGTTATGCGTTTATTCCTTGTAAGACTTTCGCATTAAGGTTGGGGGAGGAAGAGACTGCGGTAACCGTCATTAGCTCTTTGATGCCCAAAATTGATCTAGCGAGTTATGCTGCTTTTGCACAGGTGGTTAGCTCTCAGTCTCGGCCACGGGCGGGTGGTTATTTGTGGTTCTTTTCTAGTTTTATCCTCTTGTTGAATGCCATTTTTATGAATTAAGCCTTCTTCGAGCAAAAAAAAATCATTTATCTTATATTGAAGTAAAGCTCCATGATTAAAGTTGGCAAAAAAAAAAAATCTCCGTATGAAGTAAGGACTAGAGGGTACACCGTATTAGTTAGTCACACTCATATTTCGTAATCACATGCTAATTTTTTTTTAGAAATTCGTAAGCGTACTATTTCTTTTTGGAATTGATTGTGTTTCTTATTCTTTTTTAAAAGCAGAATCGGTTTTTTAGAAGTTGGTTTCCCTCACCTTATAAAAATTGCTTCTAGGAGTAATTTGGAGCATCCATAAGTACTTCTACATTTTTACTCAAACACTACAATATATGTTTCTGCTCTCTGAAGGGGCAAAAGCAGTTTCAAGAAACAGATCCGGGAAGTTTTTTCAACTTTTAGTCCTCCGACTATTATGTCCGTGACATTTTTGGTACTCGACTTTGACCTTTCCACTTTTAGTCCTTCGACTATTGTGCGAAAGATATTTTTGGCAATCCTCTTTGAAAATTTTCATATTTAATCATTCGACTTTCATAAAATTGACATTTTTTGTCCTTCAAGCAACTATTATTACAATAGTAGTGACATTTTTAGTTCTACCCTTATTATGTCATAAAAATCACAATGGAAGGATTAAAAGTGTCACTTTGATGATACTCAGAATACTAAATGATCGGAGGACTGATACAATACTTGCAGGGGTGAAACAGGCAAAACATCATACGTAGTATATTCTAATAAAGTGATACTCAGTATACTTTTTTTTTTTAATAAAGTGATTTGTTGATGCGTACAACCTACTACTTAGGATTCTGCCGAGTGTTAAATATTCTATTAAAATTATTTATAAGGCAAACGTTGTCCTTTATATTGTGATGCATGTTACTACAGTATTATTTTAATATAAACTTGTTATCATTAAAATAGAATATAAAACGTCCATATTAGAAAGATGACTATATCTTACTACGTAAAGTGACTAATTGTATTATTAATAGGGGTTAGGTAAAAAATAATAGTCTTCAAAAAAGAGACCATTAGTGTGTAACATTTAAAAAAATGCTCCGTATGCCCCTACTCCCGTGCTAGTCAATACTCAATACACCACTCCTTATACGTATTAATCATCATTCGTCCAGATTTTTTTTTGTGGGATTTTATAACAGTGACTAAATTGAACAATGACCAATCCAATCAGTGACAATTCTGATAGTGACCATTCCGACCAGTGTCCAACTCAATTGGTGATCATGATCATCCCGTTCAGTTACCATGACCAACTCGTCCAATTATCACGACCAACCTGTACAGTTACCATGACCAAACCTTTCCATGACCAACCCGACCATGACCAACCTGACCATGACCAATGCGACCATGACCAAACCGATCATAACCAATGCGACCATGACCAACCCGACCATGACCAACCCGACCATGACCAAACCGATCATGATCAATCTGACCATGACCAATGCGACCATGATCAATCCGATCATGACCAACCCGGCCATGACCAAATCGACCGTGGCCAATTCAACCAGTGATCAAACCAATTAATGATCATGACCAATTCAGCCGACAATGCTGCCCCGACCATCACCATCACCGATCATAGACGAATTAATAATATTCAATTCGTGGTTAACTTGCGAGTGCTAAAGCCTTACAGAGATTTTCGTTGAGTTGCAGAGATGAAAGAACGGAACGTAACATACGCAAGGAAAGACACGAAGATTGACGAAGAAAAAAGAGATGCGCATAACTCAAAGATTAACTAACGCGAGAAAAGGGAAAATTAAGAAAAGGAAATTAGAAGCGATATGAAGCGTAAAACGTTCCCGAGGTAAAAACTGAATACATAGTAGTAGTACGAAGTATATACGAAGTACTAATTTAATTTGGTAAATTATATCGTACCGCCGGTGGTACGTACTTCCGGTGGTTTAATTTGCTTAGCATTCAGTTCGTTCGTTGCTTACTCCTTGTTTTCAGTTCTTTGTTTTCTTTTGTTTTATTCTGTAACAACCTTTTTGTTTTCTTTCGGTTCTTCCTTTTCATGTTTTTGTTTTTTTCTTTAACAATTTTTTGTTTTAATTTCAGATTAAATTATCATGAAAATCTATAATATAAAATATTACTTAATGTCCCAGATTTTCTCTTTTTCCAATCAACTTTCTAACTTAGTTTTTTTTAATTTGTGTAATATAAAAAGTTTTACGTATTGATTTTTTATTTTTCTATTTTTTTATTTTAATTATATATCTTTATTAGTTTATTATATATTGTGTTTTAATTACTCAATTTTGTTTTATACAAAAATTATTATAGTGTAAAATAAATGTGCATGAGTAAACATTAATTATAAAAAGAACACGATTATATTTGTAATTCAATAAAAGAAAGTTTGATGCTCAATGACAATGTTTTGATGTTCAATTAACAAAGTTTGCGATTTCCATGTCAATGCTCTTTTTGTAAGTTATGTATGCTCGTCTGGTACTGATGTTATATTCATTTTAAAATGTTATATCAATCTATATTTCAAGAGTAACATATTAAATTAGATTGAAGTAGGAGTTTTAATTACAGATACGAGAGCACAGACCATGATATTCAATTGCATGTTTTTAATACTCAATAGAGAAGATTTGATGCTCAATGAAAACATTTTGATGCTCGCTCAACTTAAAAAACTTATGATTGTCATACTAATCCTCACCTTACAACCGGGTATTTCTGCAACTACTCACAACTGAGATGGCATTTAATCCTCCGTTTTGCATCTGTTTTTCCCAACCCCAATCCCGGCACTTCATCTTCGAACCGTTCTGATGCTTCCTCTCAAGAAATCAACTGTCAACAACCCAATTCGGATAATTTTCATGGAATTAAGACAGTATTGCGGCGAAAATAGAATGAATCAAACAATTGATTAATTTATGTCGTGGAAGAAGATGGAGTAACCGACTGAAAGGTGGATCCTGCTAGGGAGTTGCAGATGTCGGCAATTGCAATGAATATAACTTTTCCAGTGTTAACCTCTTTTTTAGACGCCCACTTATTTTTTTTCGGTTTCATTCCTTTTAATTGTGTTAGCACCTTTAATTTGAGAATTTATAATGAATTAATTGAGATGAAAATTTGATTAAAAACAATTCTACCTCTTTCGATTTGATTGATAATACTCAATTGCATGATTCAAATACTCAATTTAGGAGATTTGATGCTCAATGAAAATGTTTTTATATTCAACTAAGAAAACTAATGATTTTCGTATCATTGCTCATTTGTTAATTTATGTATGCTCATTTGATGTTGGTGTTATACTCATTTTAAAATGTTATATAAATACATATTTCAAAAGCACCATATTACATTAGATTAACATATGGGTTGATTATAAATAAGAGAGCACTGACCATGATACTATATTGCATGTTTCTAATACTCAATATATGAGGTTTGATACACAATGAAAATGTGTTGATGCTTAACTAAACAACTTATGATTTTCATATCAGTGCTCATTTTATAAATTATATATGCTCAATTGGTACTCATGTGATGCTCATTTTGAAAATGTCATATCAATTCATATTTGAAAAGTACAAATTTACATTAGATTCACATATTGGAAGTTCATCGAAGTTGACTAGATATAATTTAATAAGTTTTTATAAAAGAAAAAATGTGAATTGAAAAATAGGGAGTACGTATTAAGCAAAGATCGTGATGCTCATTGTCAGGCTTCTAATACTCAAAAGAATGTATATGATACTCATTAAAAGTGTATTAATGCTCATCTAATGAAAACCGCGATTTTCACTGAAATTACGACAATGTCACCGCTTTTTAGTTGTGATATCAGCTTTCTTGTAATAACATGGTGTTCATTATTGGACGCTCAATACTCATTAAAATTGGACTATTACTCATTTTCTAAATGTCATATCAATGTATTTTTTAAAAGTACTATTTTGCATCAATTCACATATTGAAATTCATGGAAGTTGACTATAAGTGTAATTTAATACTCCCTCCGTCCCATTTTACCTGTCTTACTTTCCTTTTTGGGTTGTCCCAAAATAAGTGTCATTTTTCCCTTTTTGAAAAGAAATATGTGGTTCACAACATTTCACTTTACTATACTCAAATCTCAACCACAACTTTTACCTTTTCAACCACTTAATTAAAAATTGTTCCAAAACCAAAGGAGACACATAAAATGGGACGGAGGTAGTAAGTTTTTATAAAAGAAAAAATAACAAAAAGAAAATGAATTTGAACTTATGTAGCAGAGATCAGGATTCTCAATATTAGACTCCTAATACTCAACAGAATTGTATGATGCTCATTAAAAGTTCATCAATGCTCATTCACTAGAAACCATGAATTTCATCTCAACAGCGTAGGTTTGATGTGCAATTAATATGTCGTGAATCATGATGTTCAACTAACAAACCTTACGATTTCCATATCAATGTGCATTTCGTAAGTTATGTATGCTAATTTGGTACTGATGTTACACTCATTTTTAAACTGTCATATCAATGCATATTTCAAAAAAAAAAAGTATTATATTACACTAGATTCACATATTGAAATTAATAGGATTGGCTTATAGATATAATTCAATAAGTTTTTATAAAAGAGAAAATAAGAAAAAGAAAAACAATTAGAAGATATGAAGCAGAGATCCTTATACTCATTCTTAGCCTCCTAATACTCAATAAAATATGTCAGATGCTCACTAAAAGTACACCATTGCTCATTTAGCGGAAGCCGTGATTTTTCACTTAAATTACAAAAATGTCATCGAATAGAAAAAATTTGATGTTCAATGAAAATGTCTTGATGCTCGACTAACAAATCTTATGATTTTCATATCATTGCTCATTTGATAAGTAATGAATACTCATTTTGTACCGGTGTTATGCTCATTTTGAAATGTTATATCAATATATATTTCAAAAGTTTCATATTAATTAAATTAGATTCATGTAGGACATGAGTATAGATATAACAGTACAGACTATGATACTCAATTGCATGTTTTTAATACTCAATAAAGGAGGTTTGATGCTCAATAAAAATGTCTTCAAGTTCAACTAAAAAACTTATGAATTTCATATCAATACTCATTTTGTACTTTACGTATTCTCAATTGATACTAATGTTATGCTTATTTTTAAAATGTCATATCCATGGAAATTTTAAAAGTTGCAAATGACATTAGATTCGCTTATTGATCGAAGTTCATAGAACTTGATTATAGAAATTATTTAATAAGTTTTTATAAAAGAAAAAGTGAATTAAAAGATATGAAGCAGAGATTACAATACTCATTGTTAGGTTCCTAATACTCAACCGAATTATTCTTCCTAATACTCAACAGAATAATTCGGATGCTCATTAAAGTGTCTAAATGCTCATAATAGGTCCGATGCACATTAAGAGTTCCGTAATGCTCATTTAACAGAAATCGTGATTTTCATCTCAATAGAGGTAGTTTGATGTTGTTTAATTTAATAAATGTAAATACGTGTTAAAACTTTGTAAATTAAATGTAATACGGAGTATTTTTTGTTTCAAACAATGGACATCAAAAAATTCAAAAGTTTGTTTCAACTCTCTAATGTGTTTAAATGTTCATTTGTGCACATGTATCATAATGACAAATATAATAATGAAAAATATAATAATTTTATAT